GAACTGAACTAGTTCATTTTAAAATGGGTGAACTGAACTTTGAACTAGTTCACGTAGAAAGAGAACTTTCCTAACACTGTCTCTACCATACCAGAGTATTTCTGAATGCCTGAATCTGACCCGTTCTGCCTCTGGACCTCTGAGTCTGCCTCTGAACCTTACTTGGCCTGTCTTTGGATTCCTGCTGGATTTCTGCCTGTATGTTAACTGTACCTGGACCTGTTTCCCGACTCTATGCTGGATCACCCTTCAGCACCTCTTCAAACTTCTTATCTCCTGGCCCTGACTACTGAGCAGGTCTTCGACACCGGCTATGGTTTCCTCCTCTGGATTATCCTACCTTTCTTAGTCAGCTCAGTTCTGATCTCCTGCCTGTCCTCAGACCTCCGAATTCTTGTGTTTATATTGGCGGATGGCAACCAACACCGCCACCTTCTGAATAGGAGTGTGGATCAGAAATATAATTTACCTACAATATAAACCTGTTTTCCTAAAAACAAAAAAACTTGCCAGCTCATTTCCCTCCACTCCTATGTGCGCTGGAACCCATAACAAAGTAACCTGCACCCCATGTCTTTTTATTCTGTTAACACTGTGAACAATATCAAAAAGTACATATTGTCTGGATTCTGAATATATTTCCTGAACACTAATCAGAGCTCTGCTAGAATCTGAACAAACAATAACTGAGACCAGATTTGCTTCTTCTACCCATTATAGTGCCAGCATTAATGCAACTAGCTCTCATGTTTAAACAGACAAATTATCACTAGCTCAACGACTTGATACGATATTTACATCTGAGATAACAAAAGAGACTCCTACACACTTCAACAGACTATTTTGACGGGTCTCAAATAATCTGCAGACCCGTAAACTCACTCCTACAAAGGCTTCCTTCTGCTTTAGTTTAAGGAGATTCAAACCTACATAATGCTCTTCAAATGACCAAGGAGAAACTTCAAGAAGAGGAACAGTAGGGGATATTATTAATTTCCTCACGCTGACCTTCTCAACCAGCTATTTTATTGTCCACCCAAACCCTGTTTGTACCTTTAACCTTTCCTGACAGTCATTCAAAACTGTCTAAGTTGGATGGCTCATGATGGCCACTGGAGGATTTTCACAAATTTTTGAAAAGACCCAGCCTCTCGTCTTAAAATATTCACATGCACAACCCTGTACCTGCTCCCAAGAGGGAACGCCTATCAAACACATGTGAGAGCATGCACAAGCCCATTTCTCCTCATGCACGCTATGTTTAAAAATTGCTGTTTGCATCACTCATACTAGCTTGCTTTCAAAAAGAAGATTTGCAATTTTACCACTATGTCAGACTCACCACCAGTTAGTCAAAATGGGGACGAGCACGTAGGACGGCCTTACGTAAACATATCACCGGAATGATTGACAATTAGGGGGACCACTCATTTTGATGATCCACCCAGAAAAAGAACATCATCACCTATACCTTTAAAGTTTTAAAAAAG